CCCCACTGGAACACGGGGGGGACCCAGAGCTTGTGGGGGACATCCCCTGGGGCTGCCCTGCCCTCCTGGTGGATGTCCCCAAACCTTTGTCCCCCACAGGGACAGCCTCCATCCCTGTCAGCTCCCTGTTTTCTGTTTGTTCTCCCTGCTGGGTTTGGTTTTTCAGGGAAAAATAGGTGCTCCAAACCTGCTCTGGGGGTACTGAGGTGGACACAGCTGGATCTGCCCAGTGCCACCTCCTGCAGGATAACTGGGAACACTCTGAGCAAACCCCTGGGCACCAGAGCAGAGCCAACAAAAACCATCCTGCACTCCTGGTGGGGTTGAGGGGCCTAAAAACACATTTGGGGCTGATTGGACTTGCAGGATGTGGCCCAGCTGGGGTCTCCTCTGTGGTGCTCACCATCCTCCTGCCCTTTTGCTGCCCCAGCATCCAGGTGCACCCTGCAAACACCCCCTGAACACACCCCCAGCCCTGGGTGATCTTTGGAGCAGGTAAATAACCCCAGATGGATTTTTTTTGCCTTTTCTCCTTGGAGTTTGTGCCATCCTGGGCACCTCCCCATCCCTGCAGGAAGCTTTGGGCTTGTGCCTTGAGCCTCCCTGTAATCCCTGACACTTGCAGAGCTGCTGTGCTCCCACTTTTGGGGTTTTGCCCCAGCTGTTTGGTGTGTGAATGCAGTGACCACGGGCCTGGTGAGCTCCCATGTCCTCAGGCTGGTGACCCTTCTGCAGAGGGGGACACTCAGAGGCCACCATCCCCTCCCAAGTGTCCCCACAGTGCTGAGGCCTGGGGGGGCTCATCCCTGGCTGGGCGATGGGGCTGGGGGGGCTTTTTCAAGCTGTGAGATTTTGTGAGAGGACAAACAGGGGTGCCAGCTGCACATGGGGGCTCCTCACTGTGCTGGCCCTGGGCCTCCCCTTGCCCCTGATCCCTCCTCTTTGGGGACAGCAGTGGTGGCTTGTGCACACACTCAGTTCCCACTGAGGGGTCAGAGCAGTCACCCCCATTTTCAGTCCCCTGCCAGGGACACCCTCCCAGCACAGAGAAAAGGCAGGGACAGCTGGTGTTAAAAAAGTGATTTTTTTTTTTTAAGTTTTTATTATTTTTTAAATTAATAAAAAACCTTCAACCTGTTTTTTTTGCTGGATCTTTTTTATCTTTTTTTTTTTTTTTTGGTTTTCTGTCTGTTTTTTTTTAAGCAACATTGATTTGAAAACTAAAAAACCCCCAGCTCCCCCCTGCCTGGGGAAGCACCACATAGGGCGGTCACAGGGACAGGGGGACATCACTCTGATAAACCCCCAGGCCCTGGGGGTGCCAAGGGAGGGAGGATGGGGTTGGGGGCACGTCCAGGGGGGGTCTGTGCAAGAAGCTGGGCTGAATTTGGGGAGCCAGAGAGCTGCTGTTGCTCTGGGCACTGCAACAAGTGCCCAGGGAGCCAGAGCTGGGGAGGGTGTCCAGTGGCTCCATGTCTGTGTGGCTGATCTGGGGGACCAACAGCCACCTCCATCCATTTATTTTTGTTATTCCTGTCCTGCCCTGATGTAGATATGCTGGGTGAGGACAGAGCCACAGGGAAAACCCCCAGACACCCAGCAGCTGCCTCCACGCTGCTGCTCCTTCTCTCTGATCTATATACATTAGATATATTTATATATTATAGTTATATATTTTTTTTTAAAAAAAGGGGAGGGGAGTAGAGATCAGCCAGAGGCTCTCACAGCTCAGCGCCCTCCCTGGCAGCATGTGCTCCCCCCCTCTAAAAATAATAATAAAACCTAGAAAATGATTCCAGTGCGTTTCTCGGCCAGCCCCTGCCCCTGCCCCCCCCCAGCCCTTGGGCAGCCCCAGCCTTATCTCTGCCCATCCATGGTGGCCACGGCTTTCTGTGGGGGGGCGGGGGCCGGGGGGGTGGGCGGCCAGGAGGGCTGCCCGTGGTGCAGGTGGTGGTGCAGGCCGTGGGCCGTGGGCGACGACGGGGGCAGCCACGAGGGCTGGTGGCTGGGAGGAGAGGAGGCCCAGAAGGGGCTGAAGCTGCCCGGGGGGGAGCAGGCCATGGAGGTGATGGGGCTGTTGCTGCTCTGCAGGCTCTCCGAGGTGCGCAGCTTGGAGAACATGGCCAGCGCGTCCGGGAAGTTGGGCGGCGTGGCCGGCGTGTTGCTGGGGGTGCACATCTGCAGGGCACACGAGAACGGGGCTGTCAGCTCACCCACAGGGGAGATTTGGGGGCCCCAACCTGCCCAGGGGGGGTTTTTGGGGTTCCAACCCACCCATGGCTGGGGATCCGGCCTGTATCCCACACCTGGCACCCCCCACATCCACACCCAGGGGTCTGTGTGGCACCCCCAAAGATGGGGGAGAGGCTCCTTTGGGCCAGCCCAGATGAGGTGGGTTTGGGGAGCAGCACAAACAGGGCTGGCACAGTATGCTAGGGTCCCACCTGGCCCCACAGGACCCCCTTTGACACCCACACCCTCTGTCTGCCTCTCCCAAAGGTGTGGGGTGCCCGGGGAGAGGCTCCAGCCAGTCTGGGAAGCACATTTAGATCCCAGATGCTCAAAGCCCACGGATGAGGTGGGTTTGGGGAGCAGCACAAACAGGGCTGGCACAAAGGGGTCCAGTACAGAGGGTAGGGAGGGTGCTGGGGTCCTACCTGGATCCCCTTTCCCCCAGGTTCCTCACCCTGCGCCCCTTCACACCCCATTAAGGCAGAGAGAGCAAAAGGCAAGCAGGGCCCCCCCAGTTCCTGGTACAGGCTCTGCTTTCTTGGTACCCAGCTAAATTTAGCACCCCGACAGTGATGGATCCGTCCCTTTTTCCAGCAGAGGAAAAATCCACCAGGGAGGACCCAGCCCTGCTCAGGGGCTGGCACAGGGACCCCAAACCAGCAGAGAAATGGCTGAGCTGAGGATGGCGAGGGGTTAAAGGGGGACAGGGGGGTGTATCCAACTCCCATGGGGCTGCACACACAGGGAAGGGGCTGTGGGCAGGGGGATGCCTGGACATGGGGGGTCCATGCACAGGGAGACTTCATCCTTCTGCTTAAATCCATCCCAAATCCCTGCTGCCCTCCTGGAGCCACAACTCCTGACAGGTGTTTGTGGGGACTTTGAGCAGAGTTAAGGGGCTTGGTCAGTGTCTGCTGCATTAGCAATGGGGGATTGAGGTGTTTCTGGTGGGGAATGGCTGCTTCATCTCCCCCTTCCTGGGGTTTATCCCAGGATCTGCCCCTGGCTGGTGCTCACAGCCCCTGCTGCTCCCCAGCACACACCAAAATCCCTCTTAGAGGTTCCTCCTCATCCCCATCCTGGCCACCCTGAGTGATGCTGGGATCAGAGGAGCAAACCCTTGCTGGGGGGCCCAGACCCCCAAAGTTGGGGCGCACCCCAGCCTGAGGAAAGCAGCAGCTGGCTCTCATCAGCCTGTAGAGCTGGAGCACCCCAAAAATGCAATCAGGCCTGGCTGGAACTGAACAGGTTCATCCTTAACCACGGATATTCCTCCACAGAACTCATTTCAGAGCTCAGCTTCAAGTGATGCTAACCCAACCTTTGCTTTTTAAATTAACCTATACATGTGGCAGTACTTGAAAAGATACTTGTTGGAAAAAAAGCCCCAACAAATCAATAAACCCCCAAAACCTTAAATTTGCTCTGTTTTGGAAAAAACCCACCACAACCACAGCCAGCCCTGGAATGATGCTGGGCACAGCTCTGGGCTTCTGGGGTGATGTTTGCCAGATTAATTTGAAATATTAATTAAAACATAAGAATTTCCATGTAATTATTGCCCTCCTCCTCCAACACATCTTGAGGAGAGCTGTCAGAGGGTCGGTACTGACACCCCAAACAGCTCTGGCAACTCCTGGCCCCACAGAATCTGTGGGGGCTTGGGGAGTGTGGGGAGCTCCCCTTGGGGTGGTGGTGATGGGGATCACCCATCAAACCACAGCCACACTCACAGCTTTGTTCCCTGACGCTTGAAAAAGAAATAGAAACTGCCGGCACCAAACTCCTCATCTCACGTGTGGGGCATTTCAAACTGCACCAATCAGGGTGCTGGGGAGGGAAACACCAAATAAACTCCCCAAAACAGGAGTGTCTGGAGAGAAGGTAAAAGGTATTTTGACAGCACGTGGAGCACACGGTGTTATGAAAACATTGCTGGGAAGGGGGAGAACAGAGTGGCTCGGGTCTGGGGGGAATGGGTGCCTGTTTTGGGTGGGGAGAATGGGGCTCGGATGGGGCTCCCAGCCCTGCTTTGCATCCTGCCCTGATGGGGCTTTGGGGTGGGAACAGCAGGGCTTGGATCTGCTCTGATGGGGCTTTGGGGTGAGAACAGCAGGGCCTGGATGTGCTCCCCGGTTTTGGGGTGGGAACAGCAGGGCCTGGATCTGCTCCCCCAGATTTGGGGTGGGAACAGCAGGGCCTGGATCTGCTCCCCAGCTTTGGGGTGAGAACAGCAGGGCCTGGATCTGCCCTCCCAGATTTGGGGTGGGAACAGGAGGGCCTGGATCTGCTCCCCCGGCCCTTCTCCCTCCGGGATCGCGGTTTTTCCACCGGAGACCCCGCAAGGTGCCCGGGGCAGCACTGAAACGCGCGGGCTGAGGAGGAACTGCAATAAAAGGGCTTTTACTGCGAGCTGGCTGACAAAGCGACTTTCTCCGAGGGAAACCGAGCGCTGGCTGCCGGCAATGCCGGGCCGGCTGGCATGGAACGAGATGGGGGAACGATGGAACGAGAGAAGGGGGAAAATTCACCCTAACCCCGACCCGCGGCACCGCTCAGTTCCCCAACACTGGAGGATGGCGGCGTGTGGGGGGGG